GTGCTCCCGGCGCCTATTTATACTATAGTCGCACCGGTAGTGACGTCATGGCTGTCGCCGGCCAACGAGTTGGTGTTTTTTCAATGTATGCTTCAGACACGGGTCACGACGAGGCGTTCCCCCCATAGCGACCCCTAGAGGACGCAGTTCGAAGTTCCCATGAAGGGGAACACTTAATTTTAACTGTAGTGTTGTATTCAATATTACATTTAAAGTTAATACATTTTACTAAATTGCAACTTCATCATTACAAATGGGACAAAAAATACAAATACATTTACAATTTTAATATTTTTGTTCACCATAAATGCCTGTCAGTACATTTGGTAGTACACTTTTTTTATTATTACATACTGTTTAAAGATGTACTTAAACCTATTTTTAAAAAAATAAATAAAAAGCACTCCAAACCTTAACTAATTTAATTTAATTTAATTTAATTTAATATGAATTTAAACAATAATACAGTTGCATTTAATTGCAGTTAACATGCAGTTAAGTGTCTGAAAACATTAAATTCATTATATATAATTTCTATAATAAGTATTCATTTTACTTGGATCCATTACTAAAGTATACTTTCTTTTAACAGAGAAACTATAGACCAATTTCAGTGTTTGCAAACAGTGATGACCTTTTTGTGGGCGGAGCCTATCTGGTGGCAGAAAATGACCGTTTTAAAGTAGCAATCTATGGAAGCCATGGAGTAAAATAATAAAAAAGGTAATTTTGAGTTTATATTTCAATATTGACTTTTTTCTCACAATTCCGTGATTAAATCTCACAATTCTGGTAAGAAAAATCAACTCGTCATTCTCTCTCTTTTCCCCACGGCTCAGAATCATGAGTTTATAATCCCACACTTCCGACTTTTTTTCCTCTGAATTGACAAACTCGCAATTGTTGAGTTAACTCGAGTTATAAAGTCCGAACTAGGAGACATAAACTTGCATTTGCGAGAAAAAAAGTCAGAATTGTGAGATAAAATAAATAAATGTTATAGATAAAAATAATAGGCT